CATGTTGACCAGGATGGTCTCGATCTCTTGACCTCGTGATCCACCCGCCTCGGCCTCCCAAAGTGCTGGGATTACAGGGTTGAGCCACCGCGCCCGGCCTATTGTCAGCATTCTTGCCTTCTGCATGTCACAGTAGGGAGGATAAGAGAATCCTATGGCAGAGGGGAAAAAAGGGAATCTCATTCATGGAAGAAATAGTCACCTCCCATCTGGGACAGCTAAAGAGAAATAGGACTACAACAAGACCACATTAATGGGAGGAAAAGGGCAACCTGGGTAAAAGTGCTCACTGGCACTATGGAAGATCATTTAGTAACCTGTAGTGAATGATCAGCCTCTAAGATACCAGTAATCTACAGACAGGGCTGAACTCATCCAACAAGCATGTCTGCACCATCCTGGGGACCCAGGTTTACACTATTTTCTACAGAAAAACCATGAAGACCAGTGGGTAATGTCCTGGAATTGAACTTTTTTTTTCTTTTTGAGACGGAGTCTTGCTTTATGATTCAGGCTGGACTTAAGTAGTGCTGTCTCAGCTCACTGCAGCCCCCAACTCCCGGTTCAAGCAATTTTCCTGCATCGGCCTCCCAAGCAGCTGCAGGCACGGACCACCACACCTGGTAATTTTTTTTTTATAATAGTAGATACCATGTTTCACTGTTTTAGGCAGGATATTCTCCATCTCCTGCTCTCATGATATGCCCACCTAGGCCTTGTGCTCTGCCGAATTAAACTTCTTTCAAAAAAATGCCTAATTGTTTTTTTTCCTATTTGAAAAATGTTAAAAATAATAAATTTACATATAATTAAATTCTGATTAAGGAGGATTCTACTATACTGTAATACAAGATTAAAATGTAAATACATTAATAAGAATATTGTTTGAATGCATGACTAGTTATGTGGATAGTTTCTTTGAGACTAACATGACAAAATAACAATTAGAGAAAACGTGTGAAATGGGATAAAGTTAATCAAATCCACATCTTTGGAAGTGGCTAGATGACTAATAAGAAACTAAGACAAGATTTTGATTTTGCTCATTCATTGTTTTTGAACTTTTAATTTTTTTTCTTGTTTTTTTTTTGAGATGGAGTCTCATTCCATTGCCCCGGCTGCAGTGCAGTGTCACTATCTGGGCTCACTGCAACTTCCACCTCCCAGGATCAAGGTATCTGCCGCAGCTTCCAGAGTGGCTGACATTACAGAGGCACCCACCACCATGCCCAGCTAATTTTTGTATTTTTGGTAGAGACGGTTTCACCATCTTTGCCAGGCTCATCTTGAACTCTTGACTGACCTTATGATCCACCCACCTCAGCCTCCCAAAGTGCTGGGATTATAGGCGTGAGCCACTGTGCCCTGCCTGTTTTTTATGTTTTGAAGTCTAAAATTCTGGCTAAAGTATTCAAAGCGAGTATTTTACAGGTGGCTTCCCAGGGTTCCCAAGGCAATGAAGGAAGAATTTTGATAGGCAGGAAAATGCGAATTATATACACACATTGCTCCTCTCTGATTTGCCTTAACACCAAAAAATTAAAGATTGTACATTTAGTCTCTATTTAGAGTAAAAGATTTTTCAAAAAAGCAAATGTATAAAATTAATGAGTAACATGCTATTAGCTGTTAAAAAAAATAGTGTGACTAAATTCAGTAAGTACAGTTATGCAAACAACAGGCCCATTAAATCAGGACCCTAATAAGTGCATGTGGAAAGCATTCATGTGCAGTGCGGTGCACCTCCACTCAGCATTTTCTTCTTCCCCTTTACAGAGATACCAATTTCCCCTGAGTGATTCAGGGTGCATACTGAGAACTGAGAATGCTGTGTTCAGAGTGATTACTGAAAACATGGTTAATACACTTCTTCCAGAGGATAATAAAATATTATAAATCTTACACTACCTCAGAAAACCTGTTAGTAAAATATTAGGGTGCTCAATTTGAGTTTGTGGAAATTTTCCATATTTCAGATAACTCAGACACTTAAATGTCAATAAAATCCCATAAAACCTATTTCAATAAGATAAAGTCTTCTTAGCCAATAATTTTATATTACTGCCAAATTTAGAAAAAAATACTAGACCAGTGCTTTAAGCCAAATAATAGTGTTTGACATGTGAGTAGCCCCCAAAGAAGTGAAACCGATCTCTACTAAAAATACAAAATATTGGCTGAGCGCTGTTACTCACGCCAGTAGTCCCAACACTTTGGGAGGCTGAAGTGGGCAGATAATGTCAGGAGTTCGAGACCAGCCAGGCCAGCATGGTGAAACCTTGTCTCTACTAAAGTATGAAAATTAGCTGTGTGTGGTGGCACATGCCTGTAATCCCAGCTACTTATGAGGCCTAGGCAGGAGAATGGCTTAAATCCAGGAGGCAGATGTAGCAGTGAGATGAGACCACGCCACTACAATCCAGCTTGGGTGACAGAGTAAGACTCCATCTCAAAAGATCAAAAATAAATAAGAAAATTTGCCATACATGGTGGCAGGCATGTGTAATCCCGGCTACTTGGGAAACTGAGGCAGGAGAATGGCTCGAACATGAAAGGCCAGTAAGCCGAGATTGCACCACTGCACTCCATCCTTGACAATAAAGAGAGACTCAGTCTCAAAAAAAGAAAGAAGTGATGATACATAAAACCTATAAAGTTGGCCGGGCGCGGTGGCTCAAGCCTGTAATCACAGCACTTTGGGAGGCCGAGGCGGGTAGATCACAAGGTCAAGAGATCGAGAGACCATCCTGGTCAACATGGTGAAATGCCGTCTCTACTAAAATACAAAACATTAGCTGGGCATTGTGGTGCGTGCCTGCAA